ACAAGCAGGTAGGTCAGAAACAATCACCATGGCAACTTCTAAGCAGGAAGATCATTACCTTGCACAAAGGACAGTTCCTGTTATCCTTAAGAATGGTCAGCACAGAATGATGGTTAATGCCTTGCTGGATGATGCCAGCACGCATACTTACATCAACGAGGATATAGCAGCAGAACTTGGTGTTCAAGGTCAGACACAGCAAGTGTCGGTCAATGTCCTCAATGACAAACAGGAAATATTTGATAGTATGCTTATTGATATCGGCTAAGAAAGTACTGATGGTTCAGTTGACATGAACATCACAGTATTGACAACTACCAAAGTAACAGGTAGAATGGAAGTCATTGACTGGTGAAGACATGCCAAGGAATGGCCACATTTGACGAAATTTTTTTTTCCAAAGGTAAGTTCTCGTCCAAGAGTTGACATCCTGTTAGGTATGGATTATTTAGAGCTGTATTCCTCTCTTAAAGAGGTCTGTGGAGCTCAAGGAGAGCCTGTGGCTCGGTTGACACCCTTAGGTTGGACCTGTGTTGGTGCTGTATCAGGTTTAGACAAAACAACACATGTAGCAGGTTCCTTCTTCATCAGAAATACAGAAATAGAAGCAATCGCAGATACAGTATTGAATCATTGATTCACTCATTTTGGAAGTCTGAAAGCATTTCAGGTTCGACATCGATTAAAAGCATTGATGAGAATGATGCAGTTAAGGCTCCAGAACAGTCCCTTGTTTACCAAAAAGACAAATATCAGGTTGGCATTCCATGGATGGAGGGTCATGAGAATCTGAAAGACAATTCATGCATGGCATACAATCGTCTTCTCAATTTAGAAAAGAAGTTGTCAAAGGATCAAACGATTTCAGGAGCCTACAATGAAGTCATAGAACAATACCTGAAAAAAGTTACATCAGAAAAGTAACTGAAACAGAAATAGATCAAAGTAAATGGTACTTTTACTTTTTCCACAATTTCCAGTCATTAAACCAGACAGAAGTACAACAAAGGTGAGAATCGTATTTGATGCATCTGCAAAGAATAAAGACATTTCTTTAAATTATGTCATTCATCAAGGACCAAAGCTGTTGCAATCATTTGCAATATTGCTGAAATGTACCTTCAAATTGAAGTCGCTCAGGATGACTGTCCATATCTAAGATTTCTTTGAAGGTTTATGGATCTGAACAAAAAGCCAGATGTGTTTGAGTTCTCAAAGCTTGTATTTGGACTAAATTGTTCTCCCTTTTTAGCTCAGTATATCATCCAAGAACATGCTAAGTCCATGGAGAAAGAACTTCCATTGGCTGCAGCAACCCTGGAAAAGTCACCATATATGGATGACAATATGGATTCCGTTCACACAAATAGCAAAGCTATAGAGCTTTACAAACAGCTGTAACAGTTGTGGAGTACAGCAGGTATGCACGCTCGTAAGTGGGTATCCAGTTCTGTGCAAGTTCTCTAAGAAATACCAGAAGAGTATAGATTGAAACAGATTAATATTCAAATGAGTGAACTGCCATCTGTAAAAGTACTGGGCTTACTGTGGAATGCAGAATCAGATGAGTTTAGATTTTCTTTCATGTCCTTAAAGCAGGATATCAAGATGACTAAGAGGAACTTCTTGAAAGAAACTGCTGAGCTGTTTGATCCTCTTGGGTTCTTAGGTCCATTCATCATTAGGGCAAGGGTTCTTCTACAAGAGATGTGGATATCCGGTGTTAACTGGGATGAAACCCTCAGTCCAGATTTGGAACAAAAAGCATGTTCTTGGTACCTTGAAATTGAAAAGTTGTGTTCTGTTAAATTCCAAGGGGGCTTGAGGATAGCTTAGATACTTCAAAGATGAAGTTGCACACATTTGTAGATGCTTCAGAGGCAGCATTTGGAGCTGTGGTATATTTAGTAACCATTCGTGAGGATGACACAAAGTCTAGTTATCTAGTTGCTTCCAAATGCCATGTTGCTCCCCTCAAGGCAGTTAGTATGCCTCGATTGGAGCTGCTTGCAGCAGTTCTAGGTGTCCGACTGTTACTGGCTATAACAAAGGCATTAGAATTACCTTTGCAGTGTGCAACACTATGGTCAGACGGCCAGAACGTACTGTGGTGGATCAAAACACAGAGTCGATGTTTTAAGCCATTTGGAGCAAATAGGATTGGATACATACAGGAGCATACAAACACAAATACAGTCAGTGGAAATACGTACCATCCAAACTGAATGCTGCAGACATTCTTAGCAGAGCTGTAGACGCTGAAGCACTATTGACAGAGAAATGGCTGAATGGACCTGAATTTGTGACACATGATGAAACCGAATGGCCGAAGCAGACCATTGACATGGACAATACTGAGACATCAGAACTGAAGAAGCCTTCTTCTCAAGTAAACATCGCCATGTTTACTAAGTCTGATCCAATCTCATGGAGATTAGCGCCATCTAGATTTTCTAGTTGGAAGAGACTGTGTAGAGTGTCGGCATGGATCTATAGGTTTCTGAACAACTCTAGGGTTCCATATTCACTTAGGAAAAAGGGTGAACTTGATCCTGAAGAAATTGAGGACGGCGAAACTACAATTATGGTCAGGAGTCAAAGAGAAGAATTTCTGATGACTACTTGTCACTGATGAGGAAATCAAACTTGCCTTCAAACAGCAAGTTGTTTGGCTTACAGCCTTACGATGATAAAAATGGGTTAATGAGAACAGGAGGGAGACTCAGATTTGCTGACGTATTGCCATTCAGTGCCAGATTTCCCATTATACTCCCTAGACATAGTTGGGTCACCAAACTGATTGTCAAGTTTTACCATGAGCAGGTAAATAACACAGGTATGAACAGTACATTATCAGCAGTGTTGTCTAGGTTTTGGATTATTTCAGCTAGAGAGGAAATTTGTTAGTGGGAAAGAGAATGTTCATGGTGTAGACGACAAAAAGCCAAACCAGTGCATCAGATAATGGCAGACCTACCGAAGATCAGAGTGAGGTGTACAATGAAAGCATTTGTGACAACAGGCGTGGACTATGCAGGTCCCGTTTTCACTGTACAGGGTCGAGTCAAGAGTCGACAGAAACCTTATCTCTGCCTTTTCACATGTTTGTCCACCCGAGCGGTTCATTTAGAAATGGCATTCGGTTTAGACACGGATTCCTTTCTGAATGCCCTGTTTCGTATGGCTCACAGACGAGGTATGCCAAAGGAGGTAATCTCGGACAATGGAACCAACTTTGTTGGTGCTGCAAAGGAGCTGAAGCAGCTAATTTCTGGACCAAACTCGGATGTGATTAAGTCAACCTTGGCAAACAAAAGTGTGAAGTGGTTGTTTAATCCTCCACAAGCACCATATTTTGGAGGTGTTTTCGAGTCTTTAGTGAAGTCAGCAAAACGGGCTATCTATGCTATACTGAGTTCAGGTGAAGTCAGTGGTGAAGAGCTGATGACAGCCTTTACAGGAGCTGAAGCTCTTCTGAATTCTAGGCCTTTGACCTATCAAAGTGCACGTCCACGGGATGATGTGCCTCTTACGCCCAACCATTTCCTACATGGTCAGGTGGGTGGAGATTTCGCACCAGAGTTAGACTCTACCTCATTCAGCCCAAAGAAGTGATGGAGGAGAGTTCAAGAACTCATCAGACATGTGTGGAAACGATGGATGAGAGAGTGGCTCCCGACTCTCAACATCAGAAAGAAATGGTTTACACCATCCAGAGACATACAGGTTGATGATGTTGTCATTGTGGTATCTCCAGATACTCCTCGTGGAGTTTGGCCTCTTGGCAGAGTTCTCAAAATGTATCCTGGAAAGGATGATCCTGTACATGTTCTTGATGTTAAAGTTGACAAAACAGTCTTGAAAAGACCTATCACGAAGGTCTGCCCACTTGAATGGAGTTGAATTCTGAAATTGTCAGATTGGATAACAGCAACAAATGTACATACTCATAGATTCAGTTTCCTTTCAGTTTCTTCTAATTTTAGTCGGTTTTCATGATAGATATGGATCTATATGGAGGGGGGCATGTTCTGAAGACATGTTTGTTCATTAAAAATGTGCTCCAAAATGCACCCAGAGTCTATAGATCGCGCTTCACGTGCAGTCATGTTAGTTTTAAATAAAGATTCTGTTCTCCAAAACGCACCCGATGCATAACAATCGCATCGCCTGAACACACCAACGTATGGCTGTGCCTGCACGTGAAATGTGAGGGTTGTGAACAAATATAAGGAGGTAGCGTGGATCAATTAGTTAGTTGGTGAGAGTTCGTTAGAATGTTCGTTAGAGAGCTGGTTGGTTAGATGGTTAGAGAGATGGTGTTAGACAGTGTTAAGACTCCCTTAGGAGTAACCAACACATTAGCATACAGTAACTGTTAGAATTAGCATTAGTTTCTTTCATTTGAGGTTTATTCATCTTTCCTTCACATAATAACAGGTAATCACAGGTTCTTTACCTCGTGCAACCCTCGTGCAGCATATACAGCATCTATAGTATTGGTTATTTACCGACTAATTGATGAGATTCTGGATATTTGTTCCATTCATACATACATTCACACATCACTCTCATTCCTTCCTGATTGAAACATTATTTATAATTATGGTGTATATAAATGTAGAATATATGAACCAAAAATATAATATGACATGTACAATCAAGATATTCAAGGAACATAACTATTTTCTTCAAACTGTATATGAATTGTGTAAAATTAGTTTGCTTCACTTTTAAATTTTTTTTTGCTTTAGGTCTTGCTGAAATGTTTTTAAGTTAGGATTTATGAAATATAATTTACACTGGAAACAATTGAAACTAACAAAATGAGAGCAAATATATGACCAGTAGTAGTAGTTTCATTCTTAACTTCTCATCCAGATACATCTGAAATAACTGATATTCATTCATGTTAAAACCAGATTTGCTTACTCACGACAATTTTCCAAATATTCCTAAAGCATTTAGGTGAGCTACAGAGCCTTATTGTTTTATTTTAGATTCTTATGGACTATGTTACTCCTCTACTGAATCAACTGCATGTCAACAGTGGGATGGAAAGTCACAACAAACAGGGACTTCTGCTTGGACTATTTGTTGTCGCAATTTTCAGGAAGAACAAACTTAAATTATATCTCCAAAAAGATCATTTCAAAGCCATGCTCGTACAGCCAAACAGAGAGAAACAAGAATGTGTGGAAATGAATCATTTGGAGAAGCATTTTCCAGGAAAGACAGAGTGAGTAGAACCTGTGTGTGTGTGTGTGTGTCTGTCTGTCTGTCTGTCTGTCAAATCCATCATTTCATCAGTCTCATTTGGATAGCATGAAAATTGTATGAATTATTAAGTTTGAGTTAATATAACATCATTTTGTATAGTTGTTCACAAATCCTCTACCTCTATTACATCATTGCCATCAATGCTGTATTTTGGCTGTAGTAAACCTTCCAGATTTTCAACAGACGTCCCCTTCACTGTCAATTATACACAACTAGTTGTTCCAAAATACCATCATAACCAATTAAGCTATGACGTATGCAATGGCAGGAACCTCACTTTTTCCCATGTCTAACCAATGGAGGTAGATGAATTGGGGAGGTGGGTGGGAGTACTTCCGATGCAATAGAGAATTATTAACAATGATAACTATTGTTCGATAATTCTTACGTAACTTCTACCTCTGTTACATCTTTGCCAGAATATACCAGAGGGACCCTGTGGGATCTGCCTGTAGTAACTGTGTAATTGACAGTAATCTCTTCTGGAAACCATTATTTTCTGATTCTTGTCCTAACTCGAGATAATTTCCTGTCTATAAGATAATTTTCTTCACTGTCAAATATTCAACATAAGTTTTCCTGAAAATAATATCAGCAGCTCACAGCTCTTACATGCATAAAGCAGTAATAACCTCACTTTATCCTTTGTGTGCTGGAGTCAACACATCCCTACATGGTCACTTTGTTGATGCATGTCATCGTATCCCAATTGCGTGGATCGATGCTCATGATGTCAATCACTGGATTGAGACTCGGTTATTTACACACCTCCGTTAAACAACAAACAAACACACATAATCATATGCTTTCAGTATTTTGTTGTACTATAATAGTATATTAGTTTGTATTGGTTACTGGGAACGATCCACGTTGTATACCCAAACAACCTTTCATGATGGCTTCCTCTTGATCTCAAACCTGCCACACTGTCACAGGTGTGGCAGGTTCATGGCTCCCATTCTCCAAGCTCATCTATGCGCTCTCCAAAGTGCTCACCACCGATCGCACGGACCACCAGGATTCCCTGTCGAGTATGGAGCTAACCTCTTAAACAGCAGTACCGTCCAGTAAACAAATACTACAAGAATCAATTAGAAATCGAACCGCACGGACACGACACAGATCTACCTTCCTGTTGGGAGCCCAACTATTATGATGAGACACTCCCAGCAGCCTCCCACACTCATTCAGACACCTAATCTGAGCATGACTACCAGCAGAAAGAAACTCAACCTTCAGGGGAATTTAGTTTCAAGAGTCAACTCGGAAAGATAATTGATGAAGGGAGACAGGACACTACGGAACGATTTCAAGCTTCTACTATATCCCTCGCAAACAAAGCTCATGAATCATTGAAGAGACATAGGGCACCTCAAGAGATAACACCTTCTGAGAGCCTTCCTGGAAGAAGTACATCCCTTCTGACAAGGAATTTGACATTCATTAAAACACTTGGACAGTTCACAGCAGCAAACTGACTCCTTACAAGCGTCTGGGAAACAACAGAAAGGGTTCCAGATCAGGCAACCGTGGGAACCGGAAGTGACTGGCCAGCACCCGCTCCAACAGATGCAACCCTATCGACCTGGACATGTCTATGGATTACAATTCATGTCTAGCACTCTTCACCATTAGGAAAAGACATTTTTTCACAATATTTAATTTGAAATTAATACTGCTAACTTGTATTAACATAAAGGACATATTAAATAACACCAAAGACATTTAGTGATTGAACAAATTTAGTGTTAATATGCACTTCTACTATATCCCTTGTAAGAGTTGTAATTACAATGGCACAAGACTTTCTTTTTTACCCTTTACCCCTAAAGTTAGTACTTGCTGACTTACAGTAACACCAAGCACATGTTAAGTAATACCAAAGACATTAAGTGACACCATAGACATTTGTCATGATAGTGGAAATATAAGGACATATACTGTCAATTGTGAAATTAATGTGTCTCCAAAAATGCGACTCAATATGACATAGACACCCCCTCCTCTCAAGCATCAGTGGATTTATATATAAAGAAAATGTCTTCTGTCAGGTTTACAGGAGAATCCTCACCTTAATCCAACCTTACATTAATTCAATCACACACCAAATAGCACCACTTATTAGCGCTGAGTAGAGTACTTCCGCTAAAACAATACATGCACGCTGGCTCGTGTTGGCTTTTGATGCAGTCGTAAAGAACAAAGACACCATGATGCATGGGTGGCGTCTGTCAGGTGTGATCAGTGATGACATAAGTGAGTAGAACTCTTGTCTTGACCCCAGCAGTGACAATTCACAGGATTTAATTAGTGTTTGAATGACATTGTTTGTATACTTGTTACAAGTACTGCTCAATACGGGTCCTTTGACCTGGGCTCAAAACACACAGGATTCGGCATCCATATCAACAAACCCCAAAAAGAAACACAAACCCCTGTTGCAATTTATACTCCAAGCGAGCAACACCTCTCCAAGCCTCCAGAGCCTCCTCAAGCCCACGCACAGCACCGCTGATAGCAAGCCCAGAGAGACTTACTTACTTTGATGATTTGACGTGCGCTTTCCGCCTAATGCATATTTCGCACACGGGCCCGGCCAGGCCATTTAATGTGTTTCCGAAAGGGGCGAAAGTGGTCTGTGCAACCCAAGAGGGGGGTTTTAGGGGTTGCTTATATAGAATTTGGGAATTTTGAGATTTGGAATAGATGCCGATGGGATTGGGGAGGAGAACTGAGGGAGCTGGGTATGGTGGATGTTTGTTTGTTTATGTGATTTTGATTTGGTAGGTTATCGTGTTTTTAGATGCGTTTTATTAGTTCCGTTTTTATTAAGAATATGCCTAAGGCCTTGAAGTTTTCTAGTTTATTTTGTGGGTTTAGTATTGCTTCTAGAGTTAGAGCCTTGTTTAGATTGAGGGTGGTTTGTAATGCGGTTCGATGTGTTAGGTAGTGTGTGCAGTGGATGAGTGCGTGTTCTGGGGTTTCTGGTTGTTTGCAGTGTGGGCAGTTACCTGTAGTGTGTTTTTTAATTTTTTTTAGGTGGTTATTTAGGTTGGTGTGTCCTGTTTGGAGTTTAGTGATTACTCTGTCGATTTTTTTCGATGGATGGAGAATTTTTGGTTTGGTTAGTGGTTTGCTGAGCACTTTTTGATTTGGCTATTTGAGTTTAGATATAGGTTATGCCATTTTTTTGTGATTTTTTGCTTGTTTACACTTTTAATTTCTGATTTTGAGATGGGTAAGTTTAAGCTTATTTCTGGGATTTTGAGGGATAGTTTAGCTGCTTTTTCGGCGTTTTCATTACCGTATATTCTTACGTGGGCGGGTATCCACAAGAAGTTTTTATTTGTTTGCCTGCCTTAGTTAGGTCGTTGGAGCTTTTAAGTATTTGATTTATTAATTTAGGTCGGTTTTGGGTATTTTTGTTTTGGAGGGCTTGTAGTCCACTTAGGGAGTCGGTAAGTATTAGGATTTTTTTGTGTTTTTTGGATTCTTGATTATGGAGGGCTGAGGCCATGCCCATTAGTTCTGCCGTGAATATTGATTGGTTGTTTGGGAGTCGGAAGGATTGTGTGGTTTTAGTTGGTTGTGTGGTATGGACTCCGAAACCTGTGTGTTTGGAGGTCGGATCTGAGGATCCGTCCGTGTAAATGTGACACCAATTTGGCCAATTTTCGTGTATGTATGCTAGTGTGGTAGTTTTAGGTATGTTTGGGTCGGTTTGTTTATTTATTTGGCTAGCTAGTGTTGTGTCTATTTTGGGTATTTTAAGTTTAGGGGTGAAGATATTTGATTGTTTGCAGTTTTGTTTAAGATTTTTAATTTGGTGTTCATTTAGGTAGTTTGTTATTCTTTGGGATATTGGGGTAAGTAAGGGGTGTTTACGAGCTGGAGCTTGGTTTTGGGGGCTGATGTTTTGGTTTATTAAGTTTTGGATGAGAGGGTTTGATTGGGACGCGGCCCAGAAATTTAAGCTTAGCTGTTCCCTGCGTAGACTTAGTGGCATTTCTCCTGTTAAGGCCTGAAGTGAGGTGTAGGAGGTGCCATGTTGGGTGCGTGTAATTAGTTTGAGAGCCTGATATTGTATTGAGTCAAGTTTTTTAGATAGAGAGTTGTTTAGGGTGTTGTATATGGCGCAGCCGTAGTCTAGTTTTGATCTAATTAGTGATATGTAGAGAGAGAGGAGGGTATCTTTGGATGCTCCCCAGTTAGAGCCAGTTAGGCATCTTAGGGTGTTTAGGTCTTTACTGCATTTAGTTGTTAGGTTTTGGATGTGAGCATCCCAGGAGAGATGTTCATCGAAAATAAGTCCTAAGAATTTGGTTTGTTTTTGAAATTTGATTGTTTGATTGTTTGATTGTTTAGCTGGAGGATTGGGGAGGCGGGTTTCATGTTTTTATGTTTGAATACTATTCCTGTTGTTTTTTCTGAGTTAAGGGAGAAGCCCCATTTGTCAGCCCATAGTTGTATTTTATTAAGAGATTTTTGGAGTAAATTTTGGACCATGTTCATGCTTTTAGTGCGGATCCAGATGGCTCCATCATCCGCAAATTTTGATGTGTTTACTTTAGGGGATAGGCCCTCTGAATAGATCGTTTATCATTATATTGAAGAGGGTGGGGCTGAGGATACTGCCCTGTGGAGTACCGTTTTCTAGGGGACATTGGTCCGATAGCGTTTGGTCTATACCCACGGTTATTTTACGATTGTTTAGGAAGTCCTGGATGTAGTTTATTATCTGACCTTTGAGTCCTATTTTTTTAAGTTTTTGTATTAGCCCATCGTGCCATACCATGTCGAAAGCTTTAGAGAAGTCCAAGAAGATGCCTGTGGTATATTGTTTATTTAGTTGTCCTGTCTTTATATCTTGTTCTAGCCCAGGGAGAACTTCAAAGGTAATTATATAACCACTCACCTATCCATTCACAACCTACACCTCCTAAACAATGCTCACACCCA